TCAGCAGCTTTTTCGGTGTGTCACGCTCGAAGAGAACATCGACCCGAGCTGCCCCGACGACACTGGCCGTTGTCCTGGCGCCTGAAACCGCCGCCAGATGGGCGTACCGCGATGGTTCCACAGTCCGATGGGTGTCAGGAAGCGCTGATCTCCGACGTGACCGATGTCCATGCTGAGCCTGCACCAGCGCTCGGCAACTCCCAGCGACCTCTTCCTGCCACTTCGCAGGCGCCGGACCAATCTACTGGCATGCCTGACACCAGCGCGCGACACTTCGCACCTGCTTTCGCGTGACCGACGGATACAGCCTTTTGCGGAACTGCAGCGTGCGCTTGATGCCGGGGGGTGCCCGCCGGTTTTGTGGGCGGCAGCGGTATCGGGCTCGGCAGCAGAGGTGACGGCTCCCAAAACCGGCTGGCTGGTACACAAAAGACCGCCACTTCTTCGGCACCCTCGTCAGCACGTCAGCCCTCTTCTCCGCCGAGGAGACGAATCTGACCACCAATCAACCCGTCTTAGATCACATTTTCATCCACCTGCAGTGCGGCTCACAACGCGAGAGAGCTGTATGGAGCTCCCAACCGTCCCAAATACACGACAGCCTCATTCACATCACAGCGGTCGTGAGCCGGATCAGCGCTCTTCACGCGCTGCGGCGCCTCAGCAGCCATCGCACGTGGATCCGGATCAGACACTCACATCCCATGAAGCGCTGGCCACGGTGGCTCGCCTTTTCCAGGTACGATGCTGCCACACGTCACCATCCAGAGGCATGAAGGCAGCTCGTTCGGGCGGCCGCACAGTGGAAAGACGACACGACTGGGTCAGCTCCTGCGGCATCTCCCCAGCATCGTCGTCGCGCCCCCCAGAGGAGGCCGCACCGCTCTCGCCAGGCTCGGATGGCCGGCACTCGGGCTCTTTCCGACACACGTTCAGCTGGGATGCAGACCGGGACCGTGACGGCTGACGGCTGACCTGACGACCCTCCTCGTCCACTGCAGACGCCATACTCTCGTCTGCCAGAATGTCGTTCGGATACGGTGAGGTGGCATGGTTGATCCTCTCACCCCAGTCCAAGGCGGTGATCAAGTCCTTCTTCATTACCAGAGGCGCGACGCTGAGTCCCAGACCCAGACGAGTCAGACAGTGCCGCTGTCTGCGGAGCACAGTTGTCTGACACGGCCACAGTGACCGGTGCACGTGAACCTGAAGATGGGCTTTGCGCGGATCGATGAGAGCGATTCCTTGTCGCGGCGACGCCACTCCTTGATCTTCTCACCACAGACATCTGCGTCGACCTGTATGGAATGAGCAGGGTGTTCAGCTCGCTTCACCCACAACCAGGCAAACCGCCGAGTTAGAGCACCTCTTTCTGTTCCGGCTGGAGGCTGGCGCTGACTGTCACCTCTCCGGCGCCGTTTTCCGGGCAAGAAGACGCCATGCGCCCCAAAAGACTGCAGCGAAAGCAGCGCACGCTGCTGCGCGCCCCGGCGACCCACCATGGCAAGCCAAGCAGTTCCGCGCGAGGTGATTCAACTGACCGCAACCGCGGCAAGTCACGCTAGCCGCCACCGGAGCCGCCTCCTCGAACTGCCGGCCGGCACGCTCAACGCGAACACTCCCTTCCACCAGCACAGCTCGAGCGCCGCTCGGCAGCTGGCTGCTGTCCATGGCCTTCATGCGCGAACCCGCTCGCAACGAGCGGCGGCAGCCTCCAGTAGGCCGGTAGTAAAGCGCGGGCCGGGCCAGGGCCGGACGTGCCACCGAACAGCGCGGTCAGGCGGCGCAGGTCGGCCACGTACTCGTCACACAGCGCGACCTGCGAGCGCCGAATTGTTTATGTGCTAAAACTTGTCCACAGTGAAGGTGGCAATTAGGGCACCCCTGACCTCCCTGCTCAGCTGCTGGTACACAGTCAAAGCTCCACCAGCAAGTCTCAGTGTGATGATGCTCTGTGGTTTGGCGAGGCCTCGCAGGCGACACACCAGCTTCAACTCTTGAGCCACCAGGTGACAGCATGCGACGCTCAAGCTCAGGGATCAGCTGAAGATCCACCACACCATCCACATGTGTCACTGCTGCCATTAGAGCCTCCTCACTAGTTGGCATGGCTGGAATAGCCTGTAACTGGCTTGACTGTATTCAACCACCTCACTCCTGCTAGCTTGCTGCCCCCTCCTGGCGGCGGAGGCCACCCTGCAGCGGTGTCACCTTTGCCACTGGCCACCGCCAGCCCAGGCACCTTCCTAGCACTGGTGCAATAATCCTACCACTATTCAGTTTAAAAAGTAAATTGCAACACAAATTACACAAATAACTGAGTAAAAGGTGAGTGTGGCACTGTGCAACATTTTTCTCGACATTTCTTGCTAGAGCTTTGACTGTGTTTCTGTCACCTTATGTTTTGCAATGAAGTGTGACACTAGTGCATGTGCAGATATCACATGCAATGTTATTCCTGATGGGCAGCTCTCTATCTGAGGCTACTTTTTCCTCACCTTCCAAGGAGAGATAGTATAGAATAGCTACAATTGCCATGGCTAGCAATGAAGCATATATAGCCAGCCAACGTCTTGCCAGGATGGTGTGAAGGCCATATCTTTTTGCTACGCCGAATGCTGATTCCTGCAAATGCAAAGGTTTTGACATTTTATTAACACCATTAGGCATGCTTTAACACTCCTTATATGGAGCACTGGCAATTGCAGTTGATAATATTAGCACTAAATGCTCAAAAATGGCATGACCAGAAATTGAGCCAGGCCCCTCTCCCACATGGCAGTCTGACCTGCTAACCACTCAGTCATCGCTTTTCCAATTGTGACCTGTTTTGAAAAAACAAATACAAATAGTTTGTTCAGCTGCCATTGCAGAAAAACACTGCTGTGCTTGCACCCAATGTATTCACATCTGCAATTCCTCTTTTGCATCCTTAAATGGAGACAGTGTTTCCTATAAGCACATGGGCTGTTTTAGCTGACACTAAGACACATCCATGCTAACTGATTCCCTGCATGTCTGATGTCTCTCAGGCATCCCTCCCAATCCCTCCCAATCATGCCCAATCACCACTGGCATGCTCTCTCTTGCCAAGTATGTCAAGCTATTTCTGATCCAATGCATTCCAGCTGTAATGCTTACCTGGCATGGCTGAGTGGAGCTGCTGATATAATCATCTACTGGTGTAACAAATGTTACTTAAGTTATCTGATTACTGGAATATTCATTTTGATTTCCTGAAAAAAGATATGAAGTTCAAAGCATTTTGTTCTGACACATTCTAAAAGCTATGTCTTAGAATGTCTAAAGTATGATCACCAACAACCATGGTTACATCTAGCTGATTTATACCTCAATGGATTTGCTCTAGAAACAAGTGTAGTCCCAAAATTGCGGCAGCAATGCCAGCACTCATACACAGTAGACCTGGGCGCCCTTTACATGATGAACTTCTATTTTAGGCAACATTCTGCAAGAAATGACAGAAATATTATCAATGCATGTCCAACATAGTTACCAGCAATACAATCACGCTTTTCATACCCTGGTACTGGACAACGACCACAGTTGCGGTGCACTTGTATGCTACCCACAATCAAGACCTGATCATTAAGCGATAAGAATGCAAAGTACGTGCGCGCTTTATGCAATTACAACCCGTACTTCACCAGCACAGGCAACCCAACCAACACATTTCATGGATGTGTGGGCTTCACTGCCTATCCCAGCGCCACGACGAGCACGCTGCTGTGGAAATTGTGTGAGATTGCTGTGGCGCAAACAGCTGTTGCGCTGCATCTGGTCTTTTTTGACGTCAAGAAAATGCGCAAAGATGCCTTCGTACCGTTTAATAGCATCGCATCTAAAAAAGATCCTTTTGGACATTAAAATTGCTTAGATTGGTGCTTTCTCTGCACTCCACAGGGAATCTGAGACTGAGAAAGATATTGGAAACACGGATGTTTTTAGGACGCTTTGTTTGTTCGGCACGTTAACTGTAGACGAAATCCTGCGGTTCTGCAATATTTCTCATATACCTACGGCATAACTCATTATCATATCAAGGTAGGCCCTCTAAATACCGAGATATATAATTGCACGACGTGATTCTACTGACTTGCTAAACAGGCTAGCGCAGCTAGGGGCAATCAGCAGCAGGTGACTGTAACACAACCTCATACAGCAGCTGACCGCAGCGGTGCCGTGCGCGTACTTTGGCGATTGCGGTTGGCGATCTTCGCCCGCGCGAGTGGGTGAGAGGTAACGACTTTTGAACGTTTGTGGGGTATGTCCGTCTGCTGTTGGGTGATATGACTGGCATGATAAACGTTGTATTATATGGCTACTTATGGAGGTGTTGCAGGGCTCCTTTTGTATTACACTTGACTAAGGGGAGGGAAGAATGCTCGCGGATGCTACCGTTAGTCACCGTTTTGCATTGTGACTGCGTAGTGACACCAGTCACGAATATAGCCACTGGAAGGAGGGAACTGCGGGGAATATCCCCTACCTTCAAAAAAAGGAAATGTTTTCCCTGTCGGTTACTTCCCATAGTTTTTTGTCTCTGGCACATTTAGAATGCCATTTTGGGGTTGGTTGTTGGCTGTTTCCCAGATTCAAGTATGACCCTCCAGTCCTGATGTCTCCCCACCCACTTTCAGAGATATGGTTATACCCGTGGGTAGTGGAATGCTACTTTTGGACTTTGCTTGGTTAAACTAGAGGCAGGAATTTAAAGGTGGCAGGACTGGTCAAATTTAGTCAGCTGGATGTTCAATGAGAAGAGATAAGTGTGCTGTTGGATGTCGCAGGTTGTGACCGCTGTTTGCTGCGAATGGGTACTTGAAGAGTAAGCTTGGGCAATGTTTTTATAGGTTGGCACACACTTCCATGTTCAGGATCATTGCAATGGATTTGTTGTTAGCAGAGAGGCTGAGTTTAGGGGTTAAGTTGTTTTCCTGATGTTTAAAGCCAGCTGTTCATTGGTGTCTTAAAGCAGAATGCCAAACCTGGCTCCAGGAGCCCTGCTGCAGATGAAAGGTTAGGTTGGATTCAAAAATATTGAAATGAAGTTCTTGCAGTGTTAGTCCCTATCATTTTAAATTTCATGATTCTGAAACCTTATCCAGTGCATCCCTCCATATGGCACAGCCTGGCTGAGAATTTGTGAGAGGAAAGGTGATATATTATATTTATAATGGGACTGATTTTAATGAGTGAGTTCCATCCTCATTCACAGTACCCACACACTGAAAGCAACATACCCCAAAACTGTGTACAGATACATTAGCTAGCAAATTGGCTATTGATGTTGGTTTGCCCTTTTGTTATAAGCAATGCTTTGAGCTACATACTGCGCACTTCACTCAGCCATCTTAAGGCCTTGTTACTAAATTAGGGCCATTTGCCATGAGCAGCAACATGTGCCTAATACAGGTGTCTATAGGACTTAAACTAAAATAGTTGTCCTCTTATCACCAGATTCTGTACTTAAATTCAGTGGCATGGTGATGAAAAACTGAAATTAAACCTGACATGATAAGAGTCTAAAGCATACAAGCCATCTTCCAGCTCTTGGGTGTTCCACTGGGCACAGCCAATGTGGGCAAGTTATCAAGTAATCCTTTGTGTGCAACTGGTCCTGCCTCACAAGAGCTGTCAGAATACCAGTTTGGCAAACTATCATTTACTGTTGCATTTGTGAGATGTGGGTAGTAGTGCACTATGTGCTGATATCAAAGCATTGCTGAGCATGCAGAAATGTTTCTTGGCTCTTCTTTAGTATAAGGCAGAGATAAAAGGCAGATAGTTTTGTTCTTAACTGGAGTGATGATGTTCAAGGCATTTACATTCTTACTGATTGAATAGTTGTTATATGATATGGAAACTTGCTTGTTATAGCAGGTATGTATGGGGATATGGTCAAAGAGCAGACTCTGAGTTCCACTGTGTGTGTTGGCAAACCTTAAAAGGATGGTGTCATCTCTTTTTGTTGCAGGTTAAGCTTGGCCACCTGCCACAGACATCATGTCACCAGGATTTTTTGGAAGCAGTACGCCAAGCACCCAGGCTGGAGCATTTTCATTTGGTGCCTCAGCTCCATCCACCACGTCAGCTGTCAGCACTGGGTTCTCTTTTGGGGGATCAGCTGCTAAGCCAGCAGGCACCAGTTTCACACTGAACCCAAACCCTGCGGCACCAACAGCAGCACCAACTGGCTTTGGGTTTGGTACCCCAGCAGCAACTCAGGCCACGACAGGCCTCACTTTTGGCACGCCTGCTGCTGCTACACAAGCATCGACTGGCTTCAGCTTTGGCGCGCCGTCAGCGACCCTTCAAGGCTCGACCGGGTTCGGTTTCGGTGCACCGACCGCCACCACACAGGCCCCTCAGGCAGGCTTCGGTTTTGGCTCGTCGGTCGCAGCCACACAGCCATCGACGGGGTTCAGTTTCGGCACTCCTGCTGCCTCTACACAGGCATCGACCGGGTTCAGCTTCACCACTCCCACAGCCTCTACGCAGGCGCCGACCGGGTTCAGCCTGGGTGCCCCGCAGGCAACGTCGCAGGCCTCTACGGGGTTCAGCCTGGGCGCCCCGCAGGCAGCGGCGACGCCTTTCGTCGGCTTGGGCGGCAAGCAGCTGCAGCTGGGACCTGGCGGGACCGTTGTGTCGACAGGCGGCCTGTCGACCAACTTCGGCAAGGCGGACGGCAAATCGGCCAAGGAAACACCCGTGCCCGACGAGGTCGCCCAGACGGTGGCCGCCTTTCAGAAGCACGTACAGGAGCAGAAGTCCGAGTACGAGCAGATCTCTCGCCACTCGTGGGCTCCCGTGCAGCGCGTGCGCGAGGAGACGGGTGCGCTCCGCCAGCTGCTGGCCGCTGTCGAGGCGTCCGTGCAGCGGCACGCCACGGCCGTTTCCAAACACAAACACGACGTGGGCGAGGCGCTCAAGAGCGCCGAGGTGGCGCAGCGCACGTCCGAGATCTCGCCAGGCCTACAGTACGAGAACTTGGCGCCACAGGAGCTGTTCGAGCGGCTGGTGCAGCAGTACGAGGCGTCCATGGTTACCTACAAGCGCCAGATCGACCAGCTGGAGCGGTTGCTCGCGGCTTCGGACGGCGCCAGCTTCGTTTCGCCGGAGGAGCTGATGAGCGCCATACGACAGCTGCACGAGACGTTCGTGTGGCTGGCTGGACACCTACAGACGGTGCATGAGAAGGTGCAGGTGCTCAAGGACCACTACCTGGCCTACCGCCGCAGCATGGGCGGTGATATAGCGGACGTGTTTGGTGGTGACCGTGGGAAGGCGGCGCCACCGCCACCGCCACCACAGCCCCAGCCCGGACCGTCACCGTTCGCCGTGGATCGGAACGCGGCAGCGGCGGCCGTGGCGGCCGTGGCGCAGGCGCTGGGCGAGGCGCCGGCGGCGGCCGCGTCCGTGCACGCCACGCCTGCCGCCGGCACGTCCCTGCTGGGTGCCGCTGCCAGCCCGTTTGCGGCCGTCAGCTCTACTGGGTTCGGCGCCAGCGGCTCGCTCTTTGGCTCAACGCCGGCTTTCGGGCTCAAACTTGACCCGCCGCCCGGAAGCAAACGCGGCAAAGTGGACTGACGTGTATTGACGCGAGCAAAATTTACTGATATACTAATTTCTACCCTCTTCATAGCTGTACTCAGTGAGTTGAGCAGTTCGAAAGTGTTTGCAACGAGTAAATATTGTACCGACGCAACTTTGGGTAATTTAGAATGCACTGCATAGGTCTACAGGTTCTTAGCGACTTACCCCCAACCAGCGTTTCGTTCCGCGCCGCTTTGAGACTACGATGTCAATACACACGAACCATTGAGGGTCATTGTTTTATTTAATCCAAGCAGACATTTGCATGACATCAAGATGTATGTCGCTGATCAAAGGCGGGCCCTGATAAGAAAACAGAGTGCGGAGACGGTGGTTTATTTTATGATCAGCGTTTCGGGCACAGCGGGATGGACTGGGGTGTTCAAGCACCACGAGCGTGCGTGCCCACCAAGTGTCTTCGTCTTTGTGTAAAAGAGTAGGAAAAACATGGAAAGTGGCAGGGTGGCGAGCACGGTCATTGGACGTTACCTGGACTGGCAATTAATCCCATGGTCAGAGACCATGAGGCATCTTTTTACAAGAAGAATATTGTGTATACGAAGACAGCGCATGCCAGGCGTATGCGACGTAACAAAATAATCTCGGGCGAGGCTATTTTTGCCCGATTTTCCGTCGGTAAGTGGAGCTCGAAGGTGGGGTTGTGGGAGCGGCGTTGCGTTCGAGTTGCAAAAGCCTGTTGTCCTGACTCAGTTCATGTCAAGGCCAGTCCTTTGTCCCTAGCTTTGAAGGTTTCATTTCACCTTTGGTTTAGCGCGTATCGATTCAAACTCACCACACGCTGATGAAGCCTGGTAATGGGTGCGATGTTACTCTATATCCGGGCTTTTTCCAATCGTGTGAAGTATGCGCTTTGACGAAACTTACGTAAGCTTGTTTGATTTAGCTTGTCCATGGGCAGTGACATACAGTTATTGTATGTCAAGCATGAGAGCATGCATTCAGCATGATGGCTTGTATTGAATTACACATCCAATATCGCATGCCGAGCCATAGCTTAAATCAGACTATTCTGCACAGATATCCTTCTCTGAACTAGAAAACTATTAGACCTGTTGTCAGTGGAAGTCTCAGGCTGCAAGAACTAAAGCCTGGAACATGGCATATTGTAATAGAATTAATGTTTTATAGCTCATCTTTGGGCAAAGTGTGCACTGATGACTAATGGAAATCCTATACTTACTTGGGTGTCCTTGTTTGAAATAAGTGTTCATGTTAGCTTGCATAGTTAGATTGGACTGATGCCTGATTATTTCAATTTAAGGATATTGGGACACTGAGAACAATGCTCTGCAATCCTGAGATGATGGGAGCAGCTCTGACTTTTTTATCTGCAATGTCCATGCCAAGACAAAAATAGATGTTATTTTTTAAAGCCAAAGCAAACTCATGGCAAAGAGATGGATATCAAACAAGCTAGAATTAGTGTAACTTGTTTCAGCTGTATGCTGGAAATTATATGTTTCAGGGCCCATTCTTTTAAAACTTTCCAAGTGTCTCATCATTCTGTAACATCTAGCGTGTTTAAGGAGAGTCATGATTGATCCTTCAGCACTGGATGGTCATGCACACATGCTTTACATTTTGGGTGGCTATATGACCTGCAGTTAAAGTGTCTTATAGCCCCAATTACTATTACTACAGGTATGCACACCAAAATAAAGTGTGCTGGGTGAGTTAGAGATATTATAATATTGTGCATTATTATACAAGAGGTCAAGTTTAGTACCAAAAGTTATTATTGGGACACGTATGTCTTTTAGGATTGGTCTGTGCACTTATTCCTGTTCATTTTATGTTTCTTTTCAGGCACCTGATTTGCTTTGGACTTGCTTTGCATTAGAGACAGTAATGGCAGCTGCTTCAGACTCACTATCATTGGAAGGAGGTATGAAAATGCAGCTTCTTTTGTTATCAGTGTCAAATTGTAGTCCACCAGCTGATAAGTTTTAGCTAGCTAGTCAAGTTCTAAGAAATGCTTTTTGTATGGGATGCATATTTTTGACATGTATGTGTTTGTATGTATGTGTGTGTACATGAGCCTTGCTTATTGCTATGGAGGAACAATTAATAAACATGTTTTGATAATGCCTAGCTTGATTGGGTGCTTTGCCTTTGTGGCTGTATAGCACATTTAAGCACTTTAATTGTTTGGATGTTTCATTGATCACAGATGTCATGAGAGCTGTGGAGCTGCTGGAAAAGCTCCAGAAAGGTACAGTTCCTCTCCCTAAAGTTATATTACTTCATGTGCAGTTTTCACAGTTGAGTGGTATGACCAGTAAGATGTGTTATTTCTCAGCAATAAGAGCCAGGATTAAATGACCTTATCATAATATATATATATATATATATATATATATATATATATATATATATATATATATATAATAATATCATAAATTTCACATAGAAATTCACTACATTCATGCTTTTTGCTATGCTTATGCATGTTTTGACCTTTTCATATATGTAAACATGCTGACATCTACTTTGCTGTTTGGTTTCTCATCTGGCTTAACTCAGAGCTGTGGTGACCCTGCACTGCAGCTGGTGAGGTGCCCGCCTCGAAGCTGGCCACCCTGCAGCAGGTGCTACGCTCTGATTTTCTGGGTGCGGTGCGCGGTGTCTACGAGCACGTGTACGAGACCGTGGTGTTGCCCGGCACGGCTGAGACGCGAGCTTCTGCCACCGCCAAGGTGAGGAGGATTAACCCTCGCTGGAGGATATAGACAGATATTTGCATGATTGCCTCCCACTTCACTTGTCACGTTTGCACTCCTATATGAGCTTCTTGGTCTGTAGTCGGTTTTTATTTTAAACCCCTTAAAGTATGAAGAATAGAGCCAAGCAGAGGTGATCGTCAAGTGGCCCTCTCAACACTGCAGCAGGACAACCCCACAGTTTCCGGAAGTGACCACAGTGTGTCCAACCTTAAGATGCTTTGTCATATCGAGATAAACAGGACTGTCTGCCGACCAATGTGTTGCCCACAGATTGTGTGTGGTCTGTGTCTTTTTCTTCTTTTTGTCGCCGCTCCGGCACACGTTTCGTTGCGCTCCGTGCCATGACCATCGGCTACCACCGGCGCTGGCCGACAGGCGACGGTGGCCGCGTTCGCCGCGTCCGAGGGCCACGCCCACCCGCGCCTGGTGCGGCTCGAGCGCGACGCCGACGGTCTCGGCTTCAACGTGACCGGCGGCCAGGAGCCGGGGGCACCGGTGCTGGTGAGCCGCGTGCTGGAGGGCGGCGCGGCGGCGCGCCGGGCCGGCCTACGTCGCGGCGACCAGCTGCTGGCCGTTGACGGCGCCTCGGTGGAGGGCGAGCCGCACGGCCGCGTGGTCGAGCTGCTGCGCGCCACCGGCGGCGCCGTCACGCTGCTCGTGCGCCACGCTCCGGACCAGCTGCACCTGCTGGAGCGGCGGCTGGAGGAGGCGCGCGGCTCGCACTAGTTGCGGCCGGACGCACACCGCGCCCTGCCGACCGGTCGGCCGACCCTCGCGCTGAAGGGGCCGCTGCCCTGCTCCCATGCGCATCCTGTAGTGCCTTCAAGCTGCCTTGCGTTTTTGTCCATGTATTGTAGGTCGCCGACTTTCGACACCTGTGATGTCCGCTGTGCTCAGGACTGTAATCTGACTATAGGCGTGCGCGACGCTCTTCAGGATGGCCTGTCGTTTTTTCGTGTTTTTTTTGTTTGTTCTTTGTTTTGTCCTGTTTTGCTTTGAGCCATCATGTGTTGTTGAAGTGGTTGGCGTTGATCCATCGAAAGTGATGAAGCAATGCGCCGGTGCTGGACGGCAGCCTGTCGTTGGGTAACAAACGCGCTGGAGCCGTTGTATGTTCGCCGCGCAATTCCGGCAGCTTTTCTGTGCGTCGTGCCTCTGGTGCTGGTTGTGATGGGAGCATCAGATTCTCAGCTGTTCGTGGTCTCATTGCCGCGCTTTGCTTTGTCGTTTTAAACACTGTGTTGTCAAGGATCTGCGTCCGTTCCGGCGACCTTCGGTTGAAGCCCATCGTCGCATCTCGTTTGGCTGCTGCCGCTGCCGCCAGCGTGTTGTTGAGCTTTCCAGACATCCTGGAGGTGCAGCCCCTACCAGATCAGTTCGTGTGCGCGTGCTAAAGCTCGTGCTAAAGCACGGGGTGCAGCGTGAGGCGCGCGTCTTTCAGTTGATCTCCGACTTTTTAAACCTCTATAGATGATGCGACAATGCGATGCGAAAGGTATCCGAGGATTTAAGTACTCAACATCAGGGAGAACTCGCGAGGACTCATGGTTACTTGTCTCTGGAGAGCATGTGTGTTCTGTGCTGCGAAAGGCGCTGACGACCATCTGCTTACTGATGAATGAAGAAAGTTGGTATCGTTGAAAACGTGTGAGATTTACGCCGATGCTTTTTAGACCTGAATGTCACATGGTGGTTGAGGGCATGTTCAAACAGTACGCAAGAGACGTTTGTGACCGTCATGTCTCAGGTGTATCCGTTCCTTTCATCCGTGCCATACGTTAGGAACCGCTGCATGCTAGGCCTCCGGTCGCCACCTGAGCTTGAATCTGACTCGTGTGCTAGACACGCGCGCGATGCCTCTCATACGCGAGTCGCGTGCCAGAGGGGGCGGACGGTTTGTCTTTGTTTGTGAAAATGATCCCGCCTGTGCCTAGCACGTCTACTCAGCATGAATGGCAGTGTTGTACAAAGCCGATGTCTTCCCGCTATGCTGTTTGGACGGCGCCGGCGGTGCCTTCTCTGTGCTGTGATTGCGATGCGGCCCGAAGCGCACTCTTTCCAGCGCCTAGCTTTGTTATTTGGGCGTGGGCGTCGTGGAACGCTGGCCGCTCGCGACCGTGGGCGTCGCGGAACGCTGGCCGCTCGCGACCGTGGGCGTCGTGGAACGCTGGCCGCTCGCGACCGTGCGCGTCGTCTGAATGCGCTTATTCGAAAACCTGCGCTTTGTGCGTGCTATACAACAACTGTCGCGATTTGTGGTTTACTTACGTGATGAATCGGACCGATGTCTGGCAGATGTTGAGAAACGAGTTGTTGCGCTGTCTTCCGACAGTTTTTCCCGGCGGTCGGCAGACGCCCGCGGACACCGGAGCTGCTTCCGAGGACGATGTGTAATGACACGTCTCCCATGTTCGGCGTCGTTTGCGCAGAGGTCCACGAATGCGCGATTCTCGTCATTTGATTGGTTCTTGAGTTTCATTGACCCTCCAGCAAACGCAAGCAGGCACAGATTCTGCTCTTACGTTTGCATGTGTTCGGTGTTTCTCTTAAATGCAAAGTTTCCGTGAACGCCCTCTGCAAATCGTTCAACTGGTTAACGTAATAATTACTTTTCTAGAAAGAAGAAATTTTAAATTTTGGAGAAAAATGAAGCATACGCAGAAAAATCGGACTGAACTGTTGGCTCATAAACGGCTGTATTTATAAAAGTATTTACGTTTTTATCTACCTTGTATTTACACATGTTTTCATATGGGCTAGATCATTCAAAACAAAACTATTGCCTGATCGAGGACACACACACGTCGAATGATGAAAACACAGTTCTAGCACATAATCATACACGGAGTATGCAGCATCCTCGTGCTCCACCTGCCCGTCATACTGACCCACACAGCATCACTGTCACCGTCCGCCACGTCTGGCGCGCGCGGGCGGCATGCACGCGTCCCAGCACCGGAGCGAGATCCCGGCGTGTCGAGCCGCTCCACGAGCGACCGCGCCGCCGCCCCCACCGTCGTCGGCCGTCAGTTATCTTCGTCCGACTCGGATTCTGGTGGCGCGCGGTTCAGCTCCGGCGGGTCGCTGCTACCGTACTCGGAGCGCGGCGCGCACAGGCTCTCCGTCCGGCTGGCGTGGCGACTTCGGCTCTGGCGGCGAGGGCGCGGCTCAGTCACGGCACGGGTGTCGCTCAGTCAGACGTGGGCGCCCCTCAGTCAGACGTAGGCGTCGCTCGATCAGGCACGGACGCCGCTCGCTCAGACACGGATGCCGCTCGCCCAGACACGGACGCTGCTCTCAGACACGGACGCCGCTCGCTCAGACACGGACGCCGCTCGCTCAGACACGGACGCCGCTCGCTCAGACACGGGTGTCGCACGGTCAGACACGGACGCCGCTCTCCCAGACACGGACGCTGCTATCTCAGACACGGGCGCCGCTCGCTCAGACACGGGCGCCGCTCGCTCAGACACGGACGCCGCTCGCCAGACACGGGCGCCGCTCGCTCAGACACGGACGCTGTCGATCGCACGCTGGGACGCCACACCTGGCGCCGTGGAGTGAAACCATGATGTGCTGATTGGTAAGCAGGCAGACTGTCTTTAGGAGCCGGTGCACGTGATGTTCGAATGAACTTAGTTATAGATGGGAGAAATAGTGGGCACCGACACAGATGCGCGTAAAATACACCACTCTTCCACTGGGTGGGCAGCGATACTCAACGAACTGCCGCCCTCGTAGAACATGTAAAACGTCGGTTCCATCGCATGGACGTGGGTTAAGTCAGGTGCAACAGCAGACATGAGAACTGAGATAACTACGCGCTTGAATGCAATGCGGGTGGCTGCTCCCGCTTCGCGTCATTAGCGCTTAGGCCGGCCAAGGCGAGCAGGACACGGGCGCCGGCTCCCGTACGGGCCCTCGCCGCGGCGTCGCAGCGAGCGGCCGGCTTACCTCGGCCAGTAGAGGCGTCTCCTCGTCGCGGCGGCGGCTGGCGTCGGTCAGGCGTCGGAAACAGACCAGCGTGACGACCAGCACGCCGGCCAGCAGCGACGAGAGCGTGCCGTACATGGCCCGTGGGCCGGCGTACTGGTACAGGTAGGAGAACGCCACCGGCGTCACCAGCCGCGACACGTTGGCCATCGCCTTCATCAGGCCCCACCAGAAACCCTGCAGAGGGGGGCGGGGGGGGGGGTCGCCACCGTCACAACCAGCCGTCATCAGCCGGCGGGTTTCGTCGCAGGGAACACGCTTAGTCCGCCCAGTTTATCTATGAGCATGTTTGTCGATGTACGCTTCAGTAACGGCTGGACGACGCGCACAAAACTTAGTTCCCGCGGTAGGAAGTTTCGTGGGATTTAAGGAAATCATGGAGAGCGATGCAATTTATCTGAAATTATCTTCTTGCGGTTGCGTTGGTGACACATGGTTTTCAGCCAGACAGCAGTAATTATCGATGTGTTAAGCGATTGGTCATCCGGGACGGCAGACACACATGCTTGCCTCTAGCCGGGCGGCAGACACGCATCCAGTCATCCAGGACGGCTGTCACTACCGTGCCCGTGCCCGGCGACCGACACATGCTCTCATCTCCGAGCCGGGCGACCGACACATGTTCTCACCTCCGAGCCGGGCGACCGACACATGCTCTCACCTCCGAGGCGGGCGACCGACACATTATCTCATCTCCGAGCCGGGCGACCGACACACGCTCTCACCTCCGAGGCGGGCGACCGACACATGCTCTCACCTCCGAGTCGGGCGGCCGACGCATACTCACACCTCCGAGGCGGGCGACCGACACATACTCTCGCCTCCGAGCCGGGCGACCGACACATGCTCTCACCTCCGAGCCGGGCGACCGACACATGCTCTCACCTCCGAGGCGGGCGACCGACACATGCTCTCACCTCCGAGCCGGGCGGCAGGCACTTGGAGAAGAGAGCGTTCGACATGGAGGCGAGAAGCGCCACGGCGATGCCGTGCAGCACCAGCTCCGTGATGAACTGGCCCAGGTAGATGCGCGGAACACTGGAGCACCTGCGCCCCCCGCCGCACGGACGGCGCGCATGAACCGACGCGTGAACCGAACACGGCGCGGGACGTTCGGACGTGCGCGGCCCACCGGCCAGATCAAGACGTTTAAAACACATTCCGTTATTGAGTTGAATGAGAGCGGAGGGTCTCTGTAGGTCAGGATGATGCTGGATTTCTTCCAAGCCATCAGTGAATGAGACAATGAAAATAAATAGGCCCCGTTTGTCTCAGCACCACAAAATCGCGTTCGCCAAGCGTAACATCGAAATGCACCGTTGATTTAGAGCCTCTGATATGACATGCCTATGCTCCATCTATGCTTCACGTGGCACCGACTTACCAGGTTTGCTCAGGGGGACAGCCCAGAGACGGTGGCGTCATGGTAGTGGTACCAACCGGCGTCAGCGTTGTGCCGCCAACCAGTGAAACGTCTGGTACGGCCCTGCCAAGCGTGCATGCACAATACCTGATATGGGTATCTGCGATCTGCCCCATAATTGGAGCGCGGAGTGCGACTCAGTAACCAGGTACTGAAGCAGCACTCCTTTCTTCATATAATTTGTTTCCACAGGCAAGCCTAGAACTAGTAACTTTACTTATAAAGAGCAATGTCAACATATTCCCACCCTAGCAATGGAGGATAAGTCACCACTCTCCAGCAATACAGTCAGTAAAAGCAGTGCACCATGACATCAGTAGTCGACATCACAGAGTGAGATCGACGTCATTGGAGGTCTTACCCGTTAGCGGAGGCTGCGTCCGCGAGAGGCGCCACCGTCGGCGGCATCTCCGAGCCCCAGGGCAGCGACACGACGAAGCCAAGGAAGCCCACCATCGAACCGGCCAGCAGCAGAGCACGCTCACCGAACCTGCCGATGACACGGCGTTAGCCAGGCCGGCCGGAGGCAGTCATGTCATGCGATCACACCGCGCCGGTGGGGCGCGGCAACAGACGAGGTTCGGGCTGCGCCAGGGTCACCGATCAGGTGGGATAGCACGGCCCCGCTGGCGCTGATTACAGATAAACAAACCTCGGAGCACAGAGGCTGAGCAAAAATTTTCACAAAAAAGAAAGTATTTATGCTGCTAACTCTCTCTGAGTGATTTGACTACAGGTGATGTTTTCCGGAGAGCACACCTCCTGGAATAAAGTGTGCCAGGTTCAGCTTGCCAGACCTTTATTTCCACAAAGTTTACAGGGCTTCTACTGAGGTAGATGTGGTTACTAGTCGTAGACATACATGTGAAGCCATCTAGATATATTGCACGCTCGTGGTCGGAGATGGGCGCCAGTTCTCTGACGCCTGCAGACGGGCGCCAGTTCTCTGACGTCAGCAGACGGGCGTCAGTTCTCTGG